AGTATGCAAAAAGGTCTTAGCTAACCTCATCAATCTGCCTAAAGCTAAACAACTACAAACACATTTCAAAGAGTTATAAGCCATTTCACTTGTGTTGTGGTTATCATTATTTCACAGCTAAAACCAGCACTGACATTACTTTTGCTGTGGTTACATTTCTGGCTATACAACCAGTTGAAACTATAATATAAACTCACATAAACTGAAGCCAGCACACAATGAATCATTCTGTCAACTGGATATTGATTTCTTGGGGTGGGGAAAAGATGAAATTTCCAGCCGCTCAATGCCTTTATTAATATCAATAAAACGATTAGCACTTACTTATTTTGAAGTATAAAAAATTCTTGTTTTTTTTCCCCCAATCTTTTTTTTGTTGTAAACTCTCTTCTCAGATATGATAAAGGAATAGAGACAGTAATCCCTACAGGCTAAAGCTGACCTCAGTGCTGTAACAAGCGACAGGTCTTCACTTGACCGAGAGCTGCAGCTGCACCATGCTAATTGCAGGAAGTGGGAGCTAGACATATGACAACATTCAAAACTGTGCTCATTGCTGAATGACTATGAAGCTGCTAATTTATGAATGGAGCAGCCTTCAGTGCCTCATTTGCACAACAGCTCATTTTTTTTTCTAGCCAGTAAATTTTAGCCCAATCAAACAGATTACCGCATGTGCTCTAGTACTGTTAGTCGCATGCTTGTAGGGTTCCATCACCCCAATATATTATACATATACACACGTACACTATAATTAAATGGGGACTCCACCATACCATATTCTGTTTAAATAGATTGGCTGAATATTGTGTCATCTCACCTATGTCTACCCTGCTGCTTCAAAACAAGGGACTTCCAGGTCCCATTTTCCTGCATCTGCTTTAGAATATGGGACCCAAATTTGATACCCATCAAGGCAGAGCCATGGGTAGGTATGGCTTGTGAGTGCTCAATATAGGACCCTAGGAGCCAGCTATATAAGTAAAACAATTGAATCACACTCAGTTCACTTCAATATCACCAAACATGGCTTGGTGAGGTTCTCATTTCATTTCCAAGAAGCCAGGCTTAGAGATACTAAACCCAGTACCCTGCATTCACTATATCCGGTCTTCCACAGTCCATAGAAATGCAATTATTTTTGTAAATACAGCAGCCTTGTGACTTCTATCAGTGTCCAGCCAAGCACTGGTCAATCTTGTAGGAGGAGTTTACATTCTTCTCTGACTGACCTATGAGGCTGCATAACCCCTGATCCTCTGTCTAGACCGTGCTGATTGGCCCTGTGCTGATCACATGCACCTTCCCAAAAAAAAAAAAAACAACAACTTTCTAGGAATACACACAAAAACTGAGCATGTGCAGACTTATCACTGCTGCTCTAACTATGGCACATTCATTGGGGACAGCAAAAGGGGAGGATCAGAGAAGACAGGATCAAACCGGCTTTTTTACACAATGCATAGGATTAACCGCTTAGGTTCCACAGTGAGTACAACAAGCATGCTTTACTGCATTTACAGACTGATTTTACTGTTGTGGGTTCAGTAACACTTTAAAACAAACTTAACAGCTCTAAAGTAGAACTATAGATAAAACTTTTTTTTTTCCATTTTGGATAGAGCCAGGGAGGGTTAAAACCCGTCAGAATGTTTTATCCCCATCTGTGTCATATTGCGGAGATTTACATTCACTTCCTGTCAAAGTGACAGGAAATCCCTACAAATTAAGGGAATTCCTTGGGGACCTCCAGGTCAACAGAACCAGTGTCCCCATAGGAAGATTTCCCCTCTATTACTGTTCTGGAGACAACCCAAAATTTGGGATTTTCTTTCCTTTCATTTACAATGATAATGGTAAACAGGACAACTAGAGAGGGTAAATCTCCTGGGGCACAGATGGCAATAAAACTGACAGGTGTTCTAATCTCTCTCCACTCCACACTATTCACAACTAAAAAAAGGCTTTGCCTTTAGTTAAACCTTACACTGGCAGTACTGACTACATGTAACCACCACAAAGTACTCTGCATTTTCTCCTGTACAACCGGGGCCCCTAAACTCTGGCCAAGATATTTGCACCAAGTTGGACTTCAGCTTTGCCCCACTTCACTGTCTTGCTAATAAGAAAGCAGGTTCTGATATGCAAAATGCTGAAGGGGGTTAGGTAATGGGTTAAGCTGAAGCCAAGGTAAGGCTTCACTTCATTGGGTGTACAAGATTGGGGGCTGCCTAGGCACACACAAAAGGATATGGAAATCACTAAAGGTACTTACACGCACCTTGGTGTAGCTACACATAGAGGGAGATTTACTAAGACTGGAGAAGTGCAAAATCTGGTGCAGCTGTGCATGGCAGCCAATCAGCTTCTAACTTCAGCATGTTCAATTAAGCTTTGGCAAAAAAACTGGTAGCTGATTGGTTTCTATGCAGAGCTGCAACGGATGTTCCATGCTACAGGTTTTAGTAAATAAACCCCATAGACACTAGTTTAAGAACTCTGAAGGACCTGGCTGGCTTGCTTTACAAGAAACCTGTAGTGACAGAAATATGTAAGCTGCTACTGCAGACCTTTTTCTGAAAATGCTAGTCCTCTGGTCTTCATGCAGTTCCATTATTTCTAGTACTTTCTAAGTCACTGACCCAGTCCACAGGTTAGGACTTTTGACTTCGGCTGATGTCAGATAGGCAATTCTTCCGCTATAGGCAAGACTGCCAGCGGCAGGATCACCAAAGAGGCTGCCCATCTATCCCTAAGGAATTGATTCTCTGTAGCCAAATATAGCGAGATGTCGCTCTGTTGCTGAGTCAAACAGTGATGAACCTTGATCACTAGCCATGGGAGCAACATCTTTCTGCCTCAACTACAGGGGGACAAACAGGCAGCCTCTTCGAGATCCTGCCACTGGTGATTTCCACAAATCGCCAGCAGCGGGCTCCATAGCAAGAGTTCCCCATCTGATATCAGCCTTAGAGAGTATCTAAATTCCAATACAAAAAAATTATATATTGCAGCGTACTAGTCCTTAGTTGTGGCAGCTTTATTTATTTTTTAGGCCTTTTTCCTTTATTTTACCTGGTGATCCTGCCAGTAACACACTTCCTGTCCTAGAATGAGAACGGTCAGTGTATTGTAACTATACAGAAACAACGTTGTCACCATAGGACAGCACCATAATCTCCCCTTCTCCATGACAGAGGGGGTAGGGTTTTGTAGTCCTCGGAGACAGATGGGAACAATGTTAACAGATAACAGTGCAGCACAAGAAGTCATCAGCTCACTAGATTTCTTAAAGGATCCACAGGTATTTTTGTGCTTATTGAACAGATATTACAAAACACTTCTAACAGTATATTTAACAGACCAAAAGGAAGCAAATAAGAAAAGTTTATTATTGGGCTTTACTTTACACTTTAATTTGCTGCATGCTTGTTTGAGGTCAGTGACTCAAACTACTGAGTCTTGAAATAGCCGGGCAACTAGCATTTTTAGAAGGCAGTCAGCAATGGCAGCCCCCATGCTCTCTCTGTACATTTATCCATTAAAGGACTAAGTAAAGGGTGTGGGGAACCAACTCAAGCGTAAATCTATTCTCATTCAAATATTTCATCACTGAGTAGTTTTACCTGAAAGACCTACATACAGCAGGCAATGGGTGTATTTACTAAAAGAAATTTGTTTTACTTAGCTTAGTAAATAGGATGAAGTTGTGTTCACTTTAAATATCCAATCACATTAAAAAAAAAACATTAACACAAGATTTTTGTTTGCACATAATTGATGATTGATGTCAGCACAGTCTCACCTTATTTATCAAAACCAAGTAAAAAACTTTCACTTTGCAGTGTGAAAATTCACTTTGCTAAATGAACAAAGCCCCTATTCCTTTAATAAATCAACCACATTGCATGTGTTTAACAGGATATGTTTCTATTCATTTTTTTTTTATTATTCCAAGGTTGTGGGAGAAGAAGGGCACACCAATGGACCACAAATATTCCTTTAGCCATGCATTCCCGTTCAAACAAACTTCTCAAAACGGCTATTTCAGTTTGGTGTTGTCACTGGTAAATTGATTCACGTGCTGGCTTCTTAGAACTCTTGGAAGCTACATAAAGCAATATAATTGTCTTAAAAAAATTCCCAACACCACCCAAATGTTGGAGCCATCAAACACTTCCCACCATAGGATTTACCCCAAAATAACTGGCCAGTCCAACCAACAGGGTAACACCTTCTTCATAGCTTTGTGGGTGCTTCTGGGACCCAAACTACTGCATGATAATTATGACAATGATTCAAACTACCAGAGCATACAGAAAACTGATATATCTGTTTTGAGAGGAGCTGGCCTTTAAAAACAAACTTGGACTTGGTATTAAATACTGAAATAATGTATGCATGAAAACTAACAGCAAGCTAAAAGAAACATGATATCAGCCATTCTAACATGACAGAGTACATGTGAAGAATCATCAATTTTTAAAAAAATACATTAATAGTTGGTCTACACTAATAAGCAGCTGTGTGTCTTGTGTACAAATTCAAGGTGCTTCACATACACACGTGATTGTTTGTTTTTAAGTGTATGGGACAACGTTTATTGCAGAATTTCTCTTAATGATGCAGTGGTTTGGAATTTACAGGACATACTAATGTTTCTTTTAGGACAATAAATAACATTTTGCAAACATTTGTATGTATAATTTAACATGACAAGGTACAGATACAGCAGCTTTTTTTTTTTTTTTTTTTTTTTTTTTTTTTTTTAAAACACATTCCTGTGACTCCCAAAATATATTTTCAATAGTCTCCGTCCTCATGGAAACACACACAGAACATCTTATACCTCCCAGGTACTCAGAAATGGCAACACAGGGTTAATACTTAAATGCGTGAAGAAAAAAAAAAAAAGTTGTAAAAGTGCCAGCTGCATGAGCACACACACATACACACAAATGATCTCTCTGTGCACATAAAGCTGTGCATTAATGACACCCTCACAACCTGACGGAGGCATCGGAAAAGGGGTAGTGCGTCTTGAAGCCAGACAAGAGGCACTGAAGGGGTGGAGGGATGGGGGGAAGCAGGGAGCTGGGAAGGCAGGGAAAGAAAGAATCATCTCCTCTGACCTCTAGTGAAGTGCCAGGTTTTTTCTTAAGCTCTTCACATTTCCTAAATTTGCAGATCTGGTGTCCTGTTTTGCGGTTCCTGCAACTGCTGCAGACTCCACAGTTGATGAGCCTCTTGCAGGGCACACAGACCCCACACCTTTTCCTCTTCTTCTTGGCAGGGTTCCCGCCAGCTCCCGAAGAATTATTCTGCGGGCAGTCTGCCAGATTGGCAATTTGAAACGCACTGTCTGTGACGGCTGCCGAGGCTGCTGCGGGGGAGTGAAGGGCTGTCATGACGATGACCCCTGGAGGTAATGAGATGCCCCCTAGAGCCGGAATAGCGGAAAAAGTTCCAACGCGTTCAGGGAGATTCATTATCTCTGCTTCAGCGGCGCCGCATTTGAGCTTGTTCATGCATTCCCCTGCCAAAGGTCTGCAGTGTTCAGGGGATAAGGTGGAAAGGAAATTATTATTTGCCATTTGCAACGACTCTGGCGCTGCGCCAGGCTTCCCCAGCCTTTGGGAGTCGTTTCTGTGCATGCTGGTCCTATTAGGGTTGATAGCGGCTGATTTCCTCCCCCAAAGCATTGCATTATCACAGTTCCAAGGAGACATGCCTATCCGGGCACTGGGGAAGATAGGAGTGGTGATCCTGGCAATTTTAGCAGCCTGAGGAAATGCACCATTCGTTTTGTAAAAGGTTGCAAAGGACCTATACCTTTCCATTTCCGAATTGTAATCCATAAGGCTGTTTAAAGCCCCCTCCACCAGGTTATCCTTGGGGAGCACGGCAGCCTCAGGGTTCTGTCCATTCTCCACACAGACATTCGTGTTCATATTGGACATTTCTGAGGGTAAGTGGAAGGGGGTAGAGGGGGGGAAAGAGGGGGGAAACCACCGAAACTGCTTAATTCAGTCACTTTTATTTTTGGGTGAGACCCTCTGCAAACAACTGGGTTTATCTAGAGATTTGGTTTGTCGTTTTTGTCGGTAGAAGAGAGCTTTTATTTCCGTTTAGGTGATTTTTCAGCAGACATCAGTTTGTCACGGAGCATCTTCTTGTGCATTATCACAAACGCCAACTGTTCCAAGTAAAACAAAGAGAATCATTCCAAAAAGGTGTACATGAGAGAAAAAGAAATAAATATACTGTCAAGATCATTTCCATCACATTAATAAATATGATCCCCCCCCACCCCCCTCCCTTCCCTGAACATAATTGAATTGCATAATAGCATTAATAGCTGGATGGAATACCTGAAGGTGGAGGAAGGGGGGGGGGGAGGAGGGGAGGGGAGTGAAATTGGGGGGTGTTGACAAATGCCAAGGGAGAGAGAGAAAGTAGAGATCAAAAGACATGTAAATCAGAGATGGAAAGGGTTATAGTACCTTTAACCAGAGGGCATTTAACGTTATGAAATGCATGAACAAAGTCTTGTCAAGGCACGGAAATGCTGGAAGGCTGCAAGCAAAATGGTCTTGAACAGAAAAACGAACAGGAAATTAGCAAATTAAGTGCTGAGAAAGTCGACAATGCATTGGAGTATCAACTGAAGGCAAGGCACAATGCCACCGAGAGCCTGCCTGTATACAATCTCAACTAAAAAGGAAAAGGGGGGGAAAAAAAAATAGAAAACTACCAGCTGCCACAGTGTCCTTCTGTGTCTGACGGTCATTAGTTTGAATCCCAGCACAGCTGGCTCTGCTAGGGTCTTAATTCAATGTACCAAGGACAGGTCTCAATTGGAGCAGCCATTTAAATGGTGGGGAGTGGGGAGGTGGGCCCCTGCAATGTGAGGGAGGGAGAGTGGATGGAAGGAAAGAAGAGGAGAAAAAAAAAAAAGGATGAGAAAGGGGCCAGATAAAAATAAGTCAGTCAATTTCATATTCTTCTGGTGTTATCTAAGAGCCAGCAGCTGTACTGAGGCTGAGCTCTTTCCAATCACAGAATGAGAAGCCCTCTGCATCCCTAAGCCCTGGTGGCAGCACACACGCTGACAATAAAAGGCACCTGCACATACAGGACGTGGGTGAAGGAAAAGACGCCTCATTGTCTCCCGCCACACAGAAAAAACACAGGTGCTGCTTATGTCACTTTGTTTAGCCTGTTAGATTCCTGACCAGCTCAAAACTTTTCTTGCATACGATCGCTAGAGTTTTAAAAATATAAACATCGCCTTATGTCCCAAACAGGCAATGCCGGATGGATCACCAATATCAGCTGTCAACAGTCACCGCTGTATCATTCAAAAAAAAAAGAAAAATATAAATGGGGCTGCAAATTAGAACCAGGCCGATAGGAATTTGAGCATCCAAAGTTCAAAATGCTTATCAATTACTGTAATTAAACTCATAATTAGTTTAATGAAGCGTTTTAAGCGTGACTTACTGGTACATGACATTATCTCCTGCAGATGCGACAAGACCAGGCGGTTGTAAACAAATCCTTCCCTAAAAAGTGGGGGATCTAGGTGACGGTGGCTTGTTTTTCTTTTTTTGTTTTTTTTCCAGGAAGCCTCCTGTGGGAGCTGCGATAGGGATCTGAAATCCCCAGCTAAGAAGGACCTTGCCAAAGTGGAAGCGTCTCTGCCCTCTATCAAGGAAAAAGCGAAGGCTGGAAGGCTCAGAGGTTGGCTGCCAGTACAAAGGCTGCCCCAAAAGGCTCCAGGCTAAATGCAGGCAGAAGAGAGGGAATAGGCAGAGACGGGACGGTCCCCATTAACCTAACTACACATCACTTGGAAACTAACTAGTTCTTGGGGGATCAAAGGGAAGAAGGGGGGAGGGGATTTTGGATCCTTGAAAATAAAAAAATAAAAAAAAAGTGATGGAAAAGGAAGTGCTTAGGTGAAAGTAAGGTGAACCAGAATGAGAAAAGCCCTTTGTAATCACCCCGAGGATAGTAATTACACCAGTAACCCGCCGCGCCTGGGGAATCTTTAATATTCCGCGTCTGCTCCGGCTACCGGAGACGCAGAGATCAAAGGTCATCTATAACCTCCCTGGAGGGGGGGGGGGGAGGGGCTGGTGCAGATTAATTAATAAATGAATCCACCGCCACTTATTACGGCAAATCATCCCCACGTCGCTAAAAGGGCAATGACTTGGAGGGGGGGGGGGGGGAGGGAGGTGTGAAGACAGTAGAAACAACAACAAAAATCTGTGTACTTACCACCGTACGGAGAATAGGACGCCAATTCCGCACGCTGCCGTCTGCATGAAATTAGGCGCACATATCAGCCAGCGCAGCTTAGAAGAGGGCACCCCGCCACCGCCACCGTTGGCTCCAGGGCACCCCACTTTTAGGACAAAATAAAAAAAAAAATTATAAAAAAAAAAAAAAAAAAAAGGAGACAAAATTATAAAAAAAATTAAAAAAAGACAATTAAAAATAAAAAAAAAAAAGAGAAGAGTGGTAATAAGAAGAAAGTGATATTGGGGTGTGGGTGGTGAGGTGTGGGGGGGGGGGAGGAGGAGGAGGGGGTGTATTGTGTGCTCTGTGGTCTCTCGGTGGTCTCCTCTCTCCTCTCTCTCTCTCCTCTGTGTGTGTCTATGGCTGGCTCTCCCTGTGCGCTGCTCTCCAGTCAGATGTGTGAGGAGCGGGGGGGGGGAGGAGGAGGGAGGCAGGCAGGCAGCCTGGGAGTCAGTCAGTCTCTCTCTCTCTCTTTCTCTGCGTGTGGCTGAGAGGCATGGGGGGGCCGTGAGAGGAGGAGGTGAGGGGGGGGGAAGAGGAAGCAGGAGGGGGATGGGGGGGGAGAGCGAGAGAAAAGGGAAGGAGGAGGGAGGCAGGAGAGAGGTGGAGAGTTATTGGCGCCGAGGTGAGGAGGATGCAGGGATGTGGACACCTACTGATGATTGGCTGCAAATTACACCGGGAATCAGAGGCACACACGCGGCCACTGCTCTCTCTGTAGTCTTCCCTCCTCCCCCCCTTCCTCCTCCTATTACACCCCCCCCCCCCTCACCTCCCTCCTTCTTCCTTTTTCCCACAGCAAATCCTCGGCTCGCCTCCACAGCCACGTCTCCCCCTGCAGCCCTCCACAGGGACACGGCTGCCATCATTATTATCATTGTCTCGGGGTCGTTATTAGGGGAGTTCCGCAGCCTGGTCCTCCTGCGGGGCTGTGTGAGGCGGAGGAGGAGGAGGGGAGCCATTCACCTCATGCCTTCCTCCATCCCCCAGGTGGGAGCAGGCACTGTGTGCATGGCTGACCGAGTGAACCCTGCAATGGGGACTGGACTGTGGGGACTCTGTCATCACATAGAGGGGAATGCCAGACACATCCTGCACAGGGGGACTGCAGGGAGCTGACAACCTCTCTATACTGGGACCAGTGACATCTACACTGCTGGTTACTAGGGGTTACAGCACTCATCACTGGTCCCCTCTCCTCTATAGGAAATAGGGGTCAAGGCATCTGCTATAGCTACACATTGTATTTTTATACCCAGCCCCCTGAAAACTTCCACATTGTTCTTTGTACCAAAGACTATTCATAATCACACTGGTGTGAATAAAATCATGACAAATTGTTGCTATTGGTTACTGCATTCATCTTTGGTCCCCTCTCCTCTCTATAGGAAATAGGGGTCAAGGCATCTCCTATAGCTACACATTTAATTTTTATATCTAGCCCCCTGCAAACTTCCTCATTCTTTCTAGCAAAGAGGATTCATATTATAGAAAGGTAATCATCACAATGATTGGTATTAATAAAATCATGACATCTGGTTGCTATGGGTTACAGCACTCATCACTGGTCCCCTCTCCTCTCTACAGGAAATAGGGGTCAAGTCATCTGCTATAGCTACACGTTGTATTTTTATACCCAGCCCCCTGAAAACTTCCACATTGTTCTTTCTACCAAAGACTCTTCATTCATCACACTGATTGGTAGCAAATTGTTGCTATTGGTTACTGCATCATCTTTGGTCCCCTCTCCTCTCTATAGGAAATAGGGGTCAAGGCATCTGCTATAGCTACACATTTAATTTTTATATCTAGCCCCCTGCAAACTTCCTCATTCTTTCTAGCAAAGAGGATTCATATTATAAAGGTAATCATCACAATGATTGGTATTATAAAATCATGACATCTGGTTGCTATGGGTTACAGCACTCATCATTGGTCCCCTCTCCTCTCTACAGGAAATAGGGGTCAAGTCATCTGCTATAGCTACACGTTGTATTTTTATACCCAGCCCCCCCTGAAAACTTCCACATTGTTCTTTCTACCAAAGACTCTAATCATCACACTGATTGGTATGAATAAAATCATGACAAATTGTTGCTATTGGTTACTGCACTCATCATTTTGGCCCCCTCTCATCTCTATAGGAAATAGGGGTCACGTCATCTGCTATAGCTACACATTTTATTTTTATATCTAGCTCCCTGCAAACTTCCTCATTGCAAAGAGGATTCATATTATAGAAAGGTAATCATCACAATGATTGGTATTAAACAAAATTAAACATCTGGTTGCTATGGGTTATTGCACTCATCATTAGTCCCCTCTCCTCTCTATAGGAAATAGGGATCAAGTCATCTGCTATAGCTACACATTGTATTTTTATACCTAGACCCCTGAAAACTTCCTCATTGTTCTTTGTACCAAAGACTATTCAAATCATTACATTGATTGGTGTGAATAAAATCATGATAAATTGTTGCTATTGGTTACTGCACTCATCTTTTGTCCCCTATCATCTCTATAGGAAATAGGGATCAAGGCATCTGCTATAGCTACACATTTTATTTTTTATATCTAGCCCCCTGCAAACTTCCTCATTCTTTCTAGCAAAGAGGATTCATATTATAGAAAGGTAATCATCACAATGATTGGT